GCATGCATAAAATTGCTTCTTCTGTATGTGTTTCATAATGATGAGCACTCTTAGTTTCCATGCCGCAATACACCTTAAAAATTATATCCAAGTGATTTTATTTTGATGAGCAGATATCATGTTATCCTACAAATGACATGCATTTTATCTGTAACTCTGTGCAGGGTAGTGGCTGAAGTTCAAACCACAAAGGCAAGCCATAGGCAAGCCATCCAAAAGCAGTGCCATTGTACAACAGTGTGTACCCCACAGTTTGCCATGAGGGCAAGCAGAGAGCCTGGAATTTGAATGATTCAGTCTGATATGTTCACAAAGCATCTGTCTGTATCAGATTTGTACTACCAAGTAATCCAAAAAAAGTAAAAGTAAAACTTAATGTTACTGACCATAGTACCACAGTCTGGTAGAAACCAAGACTGTTGATAGACCCCATGTTTATAAGATGAAAACAAAGTTTGAGGTACATGGTTCTGTTTGAAACTTGACACAAAGGTGTTTCTTCTAGATGGGAGGTCTCATTTTTTTTTTCTAAATTATGCTAATGACATTCCACCACAAAGATTCTGATATGAGGAAAGCCACAAAAGTTAAATTGCTTTTAGGGAGATGTTGGAGGCCATTGCTTAAGGAACGCACAGCTAGAAGCACAAAGTGTGCACAATGTGAGGAATTGGCTCAGCTATCTAAATCAGTCTAACTATGACCTTACAGAAAGAATTAAATTTACACCTGCTGAGGACACAGCTGTAATGTCAAGAAGAAAAATAAAATGGAAAAGGAAATGCAAGCTCTAGAAATTAAGAATTTTGCTTTTTTTTTTTTTTTCTTACAGGTAATGTCTACAACAATATTTAGCTTTGTGGACTTTGTGGAATTACTCACTAATCTTTGAAAGAGAAGATCAGAGCTAGTACATTTTAGAGTAATTAATAATTTCCATGATGTTTCCTAGGGTCAGTCTACAATGTCATATGGTATAAACTGCTCAAAGCTGCATAATTGAATGGACTCCCTCCCAAAAAAAAATAAAAATAAAAATAAAAATAAAAAAAGGTAGAGGCACAGATCATATACAGTGACAGAAATATAAGGAAATGATTAAAGATTTAAGAAACACTTGAAGTATGCAAAACACTAATTCTTCCAGAGACTGTCTTCCAGGGACAACTTGAGGAAGCAAGGTCTATTTTCTAAATAAATGTTAGTTCCTTGGCCTGAAGCACAGAAAAACAGGAAAGAGACAGTCATTGGATAAACATGAATTTTCTCGATTAATGAATTTTTCTGCCATTGAACTTAAGTATTAGTCATGATGAGAACATATTTTTTAAACAACAGTGCCTTAGGATCTCACTTTTTCACCTCCTATTAGCACTATGTTTTATAAACTTACTTCAAGAAAAACAGCTTAAGCAAGTGCCTTAGCTTTTAGCAGTAATCTGGATTGCAAACAGCAATGAATTTACATGAGCAAGACACAAGAAATTTTAGTTCAGAATGTCATTTGGAAAAAATCCGTGTCTTCCCTTTCATGAAGCTGGGGCTTCATTAAGGTCCCAGACACATTGTTGAATGTACCAAGTTACTCTAAAAAATTCAACTCATGTAAAGGACAAGAGGGAAAAGACAGAGGAGAAATCTTATGTAAGCAACAGATTGTGATGGCACCTAGGTAAGTAGGTCACCAAGAGCCTTGGAGTCTGCTTTCAGCTTTTCAGGACAGCTTTTTCAGGTCAGAGGACCAAGTACAGCGAACAAGTCCTCATGACAGAGGTGGGATGGGATGATGAGGCCCCTACAGGCAAAGGAAGAGCATAGCCTAAAGCAAGAGATGGCTGCTAACCCAAGGGGAACCTAACAGATGTAAGGAGAACTCAGCAACTGGCAACCTTTATCCCACATTCTCACAAAGAGTCCTAAACATACCATCTGGACACAGACATCCAGGTGTTTGCATGCTGAAAAAAACACCTTTATTCACACTTCATGGTGTTCATGTGGGAATAAAGGTATGAGTATGAATGGGCCAAATCAGTTTTACTTCAGATTTAATTTTAAATAAAACCATCTTCACCTTCCATAAGAGCTTGCATAGAGCTCTGTTAAATTGTTGCTAAAATATTTCATCAGTATTACCTGCAGCTGAACCTGAGGCCTCCCGATATCCAACATTCAGAAGCTCAAAACTCAGTCTTAGTTGCAGACTTGCCTGGGAGTAAAAGTCTGCACATATCTGTATTTCTGCTCATAAAGTTCCCCAGACATGAGTGCTTTTACAGGACCTGTCCAGTTCTATGTCACATTTGTCTTATCTGTAGGGTTTGGTCCTGGAAAAGTACTCTGAACAGACTCCAGCAGAGGAGTCTGGGCTGGGACAACTTTAGCAAATCGTCTCATCACATGGCAGGATACCGTAAGTTTATATAGGATGTCTGGACCATTCCAGAAAGTGTTTGTGAATTTGAGCCTGATTTAGCCTTTACACATGCAGTCTATTTGCCATTTTCATTACAGATCTATGACACCGGTGCAGCACACTGCTGAAACAAAAGACTTACCACTACACTTCTGGTGGAAACCTATGCTGCCACTGCCAGTGCTTCTGCTGAGTTCCCCAGTATTTAGACATACAAATAACATGTATCTAAAGCTGGCTTTGATAATAACAGTCTTTTATCCAACAGCCAAAGGGCTAAGCACCCACAGTGCTGCTCTCACAACTCTGCCAGAAAAGCATACCTTCCGAGCAAATGCTGTAGCATCCTGAATAGCACTCGCCTTTACATGATGTTTTCTCAGTCCCTGCTCTTGAAGCTGTGCCATTTTGTAGAACTACCTAAGTGATTTTTGACACAGAGTATGAAATCCACATTTCCACTTTCTCTGAGTTTCGTGACCTCAAGCATTATTCCAGTGGTCACTTTCATGAGACAACAAATATTTAATTAAAACAACCTTAATGAGAGATGTATTACTTCCAATCCTCTCTGTCCCATCCAATAGAAGGAAACGAATTCAGTTATCTCACTTTCACAGCAGTGTATACTGAATTATTACTGAAATTACTGAATCATTGGATTAAAGATGGACAGTGTAGTAACATCATGGCCACTGCATCGGAAATGGGTAAACACGAAAGGCAATATAACAGCAATCATATTGCAAGACATTCCTCCTCCTCCTCCCCCCCCACCTCATTCCCCTCCCCCCATTTGGTATAACGCTTTGTTGGCGTTTCCTCTTGTCTAGAATAGTCAGTTTTCCACTCCAGGTTTAATCCAGGTCCCACAGTTTCACTACTTCAGGTACCAAATCTACTCTAGCAAAGGTTTTTCAAATTTATTATATTATATATATATATATTCCTGTATAACTTTTGTAGAACTCAGATCCATGGTTTTGCTAGCTAGCAGATGGCCAAAATTTTACACCTTCAGTGGAAGCTAAGATGGATCTACCACTGCCAGACAACCCAGTCTTGAGACTAATTAGTTCAGGCATCGCATCATGTTTATTCAGCTACAGTTCTGAACCACAGTCTGGTTGCTCTTTATAGATTAAGATACAGTACTATGCCACACAGGCATACAAACTTGTTTGAAGATAGCTTAAGTTTTCTAATATGTCACTGAATTTTTAAATCTAGACAGCCTTGCTGAGGCAATCAAATCCCAGAGACTGTGGTAGAAATCTTTTTATCAAATTCAATCTAGGCAAGTCCCCAGAGCATAAATTTTATCGCAACATGCTACCTAGCTGAAAAATAGCATATATCTCCTTCATCATAAGAAATCATCTTCAACCAGCATAAACAACAGTCCACCCTAACATAAAATCACTATAAAATTCAAATATGAAATCAATCATCAGTATTTATTTGTTTCAGAGAAAAGCTAATGATCAAACTTCTCCACTTAGACAAGGATTTGATTCCTAATCTGTAGAGTTCTGCCTACTCAGAAATCAACCTGAAAGATGTATAGAACTGCACAGAATTAACATGGACTAATTTTTAATTTTAAGGAGGCCATGATGATTAACAACTCTGAACTGCAGGTCTTTTGGGGAGAATGTTTTTTGTAATGAAAGCACATTTTGAGCAATCTCAAGCAAATTCAATTTTTGTTTCAAACAGTGGCATTAAAATTCAGGAATAAAGCTAAGAAAAGTCATAGTTTATACATATAGTTTGCATAATTAAGGCTTGTGGTACATAGAAGACCAGAATGATGACTCTCATGTAAGGTTTTTACATTTTTCCTTATTAAATGTGTCTAGCTTTCTCATAACTCTCTGCTGGTGGTCTGGTTATGTGACCACAAACTCATTTTATTCTCTTACTTCATTGCTGTGAATGCCAAAGAAAACTTGTCTGTAGGTCTTCTGGAATGCATATTACATTTACTGCTGGACTGAATAAGTTTTTTGGTAATTAAGTAGATCTCACAAAGCTATATATACTCAGTATACCTGCCTTTGCAGCCAGAGGGAAAGTGAAGTGGATGGTGTGTAGCAAAAAAAAAACTGGAACGGTGTGCAGCAGCCAAAAGAAAACTGTATGTAACTGGAATGGGGGTAGGACAAGTGTTAGATATGGACAGAGTGGCAAAACATCAGCTAGGAGAGGGATTGATCCCAGAAAACAGAGTTCCACTTGCTTTGAAAAATGTGTAAGTAGTACAGACAAACCTCGAACACATCTTAGATCATTCCAGCAAGTGTGTAAATGGTAAAATTTTAAAAACAGAAGAAACAGAGTAGTCAGAAATTTGTAAAAGGGCCAGAGAAAAGTTGAAGTCTAAAAATGATTAGCTGTGAGAGAAAGGAAAAAGTCTGCTTCAGCTTAATGTATGCAAGCATCCAAATGGAATGCAATATATAGAAAATAAAAAGTAATTATTGCCAATGTAGTGGAAGATAGTTACCATCCCCCCTTTTTTTCCACACTCTTAAAAAAAAAGTTTGAAAACATGCAAAATTGCAAAAAAGAAGGAAAAAGGTAAAAAGTTAAAGATTGTTAATATAATAATGATTATCAGTAGCATACATTGGAATGTTGTGAGCATTATGAGCATAAAGTGTTCGCAAGAAAGGTTTTTTTTTTCTGATATAACAGTGGTGTAGATTTTTCAGGTGTATTATTGTGCTTTGTTTTTTGTTTGATTGGATTTGGATTGGTTTTGAGTGACCTCTGAGGACTGAAAACAGCAAGTATAACGTATAGAATAACTGCATGAAGATAAATACATTTCTATGACGATGGTTATTTGTAGGGAGAACTGTTCAATTCTTTGGATTATAGAGCAACATGTTCAAATATGGTAAAAAGTCTTCATAGGAGTTATCAGCAAGACATTTCTGGGTTTGGCAGTTGAGATTCTGGTAAGCTTATTTATGACATCCAGCTTCAATACACAGGGGAGCTGTTTTCCAGGGTCCTCTTTTTGAAAAGTGACTGTATTGAAAATCTTCACATGACTGAAGTTCCTTCTCCTGCACTGCCACCAGTGACAGAGGTTTTGCAATGGCTGTGCAGCACCATGAAGCTCAGAAAATCCATGACCTCTCATTTTTTTTTTCAATGGCTTCTATTCAGTGCTATTGCCTTAAGTGATTTTGGAGCTCCTCTTAAAGCACCCTGCTATAGACAAAGAATAGCTCAATTCAGTAAGTTTGATCTAGGGAAATATAGGAAATAACACAGGACAAAAACTGTCTTTAAGTCACTATGTTTGAGACTGTGGTTAGACAGTTGCATCAGGATTAAAAATAACTGCAGAATGCTGTGATACTGAGAAAAGATTTCAGGAAGGTATGTGATTTTTGAAAAGGCAGTCTTGCTAAATGTCTCCTCACATTTACAGCTCTAAAACTGGCAAGATTTTTTCTTAAAGCAGAAGCAAATGAATTCCCAGGTTTGATCATCCCTGTCACTGTTGCACTTTTGCAAATGACACTTCTGACAGCAGGCTCTCAACAAAATGTATTTTAGCACTTCCAGCCCCAGCATCTTTGTGCCTTAAATTTGTTGTGTAATTACCCATTTTATCACAAAAGTGAGAGTGGCACAGAGGTTTATTTTGTTTATAAATAAAAAAATAGAGAGAGAAGGAGAAAAAAAAAAAACCTGACATCAGTATTTTTAGGTTTCTCTTACTGTTTGTGCAAGACACAGCACCAAAGCTTATGGGCCTGATCTCAAGGGCTGCTGACAATTTCCTGTAGCTGGAGGAAATAGCTGTAGACCTATTTTTATGCCTTGAAAACAGAGTCAAACAGAGTCCTCAAAAGCACCTTATCCCAGCTGTCTGCATCCTGATCTCCTTTAATGCTTTTTGATTTGTCACCACTCAAGAAATGGCTTCTTGCTTTTGTGCTGAAAACCATTGAAAACGGGGCTTCCATTGGATGGCCTGACTGTGCTGACACTTCAGACGCAGTTGCCTCATGGACATGTTACATACAAACAAAACCACAAATTTTAAACTCTGTAATTGCTGAACAAAGTCACTCTCAGAGGGATTTTGAAGATGTCTATGACCTTTGCAGTGTGGGAAGGCTGTGCCGTCTCTCAGCTTCTCTCAGGCCTAAACCTCTCCGTGGCTGGAACACATGTGGGCCAGCTGCTTGTCCCTGAGAGCAGGAGCAAGTTTTGCATCCCCTTTCTATAAGGCTGGGTTAGCTATTTGTCTGAGGGACATCTTGGCATCAGCAAATAAACATCACTTTCAGGAAAGCCTGTGTGTACATAGTCTTAGCCGTTTACAGAAGAACAGGATGCTTCTGAATGAAATGCTAAATTTAGACAAACTTTTCATTCACCAAAAATTTCTGGTCAAATAAAATTTTTCTTGTTTCCCATCATTTTGAAATCTGTCCCTGTGAGCTTACAAAATGCTTAATGATTTTCTCTTTGAACATAACAGTACAAATATTTCAACCAGAAGTAAAAAAAAGGTAAGCAGCAAATAGGTATTTATTCTAATTTTTTTTTCCTTCAGCCAAGTTGCATCTTCACAGAATCATGGAACAGTTGAGATTGGAAAGGACCTCTGGAGAGCATCTGGTTCAACACCCCTGTTCAGGAAAGAATACCTAGAGCAGGATGCCCAGGACCATGTCCAGTCAGCTTTCTGTTGAACTCCAGGGTGTTCAGTAGTCTTTGAGCTAACTCCCATGTAACTGTGGGGACAATTAAATGTTTTTCTAAACATTTTTTCTGTACTATCAGTAATAAGCCCAGGCACATACATGATTTGAAAAGCTAAGCTCTATGGTGCACAGCATGGAAGACATCATCCCTGAAGTTATAGTGGGGAAGAACTGCATGCAACCACTATAAACGTGTTGTGCTAACACTGCTATACAACCTTATTCTCTTTGTCTGCTCTCTGGACAAAGCACATCCTTGGTCCCCAGCCTTCTTTTAGGTGTCTACACAAGCATACAAATATATATATTTGTTGGAACTGGAAACAGAAAGTACCAGTGCTGTTCTGAAAGAAAATTTATTTTTTCATCCTGTTGAAGGTATCAATGGAGATTTTATGTTTTTTATATTTAGATTTCATATGAATGTAGTCTTTCTGGCTGCCGAATCAGGTCCAGTACACAGTAGGGCAAAATTAAGCACTTTCTACTTTCACAAGCTAACACTGATATAAACCAGTAAGGAAACATCTTCATTTCCTTTTTTGTGATTTATGCAAAGAAGCAGAAGTGTATTGGTATTTCCATATTTGAAGTCTGAGAGCACTGAAGTTACACAGCACTTTCCAAAATAATCATTATAGGGATATGCATTCCTCATTATAAATAAGCCACATAGAAAAGCAGATTTGTTCTAGACAGTATTTTAGAGCAAGATTCTATCAAATCAGTCTCCAAGAGAAGAAACTATAGCAGAAATTACAAATAATATTCCTCTGTCACTGCATGACTTCTTAAATAGTTTTATCCAAATATATATATAATTTGATCTCTCAGCAGCTGATGTGTCATTTCATTTCTGAACATTCAAGCCATCTGTATGTTAATGCCCCAGGCAGCAGCTGTAATTTCATTAGGCAAGAATTAATTCGGGTTTGCTGTCACTGATAGCTGGGAATAACTCTAAATAAAGTAAATGGGCAATCTGTCTTTTAATAAATATATTTGTGTGGTGAAGAGGGTAGAATTAAGCTGACAGATGACATGAAAAAACACACTGATTACTTTTGGCAAGAGCAAAACCTCTGCTACCCTATATATTCTTAGTTTAAAAGCTCTGGATGTTGCAAATAGTGACACTGCATCTTCTGTAACACGACTCCTTGGAGCAAGATTTCATGGATTTAGTGTCCACCTCTGCATATGAGGTGCAGATTTAGGCATAGGCATTTCATTGTGCCCATACAGTGAGGAGGAGAGGGCAACAGAGCACCTCTTCCCACCCCAGAAGTTTCTAAGAGGGTACCTAGCACAGGTTTGCTCATTGTAGCTCAAGACAGGGAGTGCAACAAGTTTTTCTTTACAGCTACACTGTGTTTTTGGCTAATGTGGCCATAGCTTCGTCAGATAACCATGCTTTTGGTCTCAGATAACCAAATTGTCATAGAAAACTTATTTCCTCCAGATTTTGCTCCCTTCCTCATCCTTATCAGCCATCATAATGGAGATTTGCTGATGTATTTTCAAAAATTAGGGAAATAAATTTCACTTCACTCAAGAAACCATACACTTTCACCATAATATTTCCCCATTATTAAATGTAATAAAAGATTACAGAAAGTTTTCTTCTTATGACATGTGGACATGATTTCAGCCCTTGAAGAAATGCTTCCTTGTTTGTAGTTTGGGATGCCAGACTTTTAGGAAAGCCATTGCATGCAGGGGAGTTTGTTTTCTGCTTTCATGCCTGTAATAGGAATTTAACACCTGAGAGTTAAAGACCCCCCATGAGGCAGACATTGCAAAGCAGGATGACATTTCTGAGAAAAAAAAAAAAAGATTCCCTCCATCTGGTTTCTTGACCTCTAAGTCCTATCCTGTAAACACATAAAATAAATGGTGCTGAAATACCCACACTGTATCACTGATTTCTCTTGCAGTGGGAGAATGGACATTTAGGCCCTTTATAATCTGATGCTGCTCAGAAAAGAGGGTCTAATATAAAGTTTAATCACTGGTAAAGCCTATAGTAAATATTTGCAATGCTTTTCAGCTCCCTTCTCACAGTTCTGTACAAGAGACCAAACTGTAGCAACTTCAGATTTCAAACTGATGCGCAGAAACACTGTCACTGAGATAAATTAAATGCTATGTGTGCCTAACATAGTGTCAACCAGGGTGAAGCTCCCTGTTCTAGAGAGAAATGACAAACTTGCAGCTTAGTCCTTTGATACATGAATGCCAGTATGCTTTCTGATGGACTTTGAAGGAAGACACCAACTGTCATGAGTTCAGTTTGCATTATCTTTGAGACCTGGCAACACTATTATCCTCAACATTTCACAGAGATGCTTCAGACCTTGAAGAAAGTACTCAGCACCTCCTTGGCTCACACCCACACGTTTCATGACAGATACACTGAGAAGACAGACATTTGCTACAAACATAAGTCCTTGACAGATGCATAATTAGCCATTTTCATTTCCCACAAATATGAGATTTCATGTGAACTCTGAGCTGGTAGAACAGTGAGTTTTAACTCTTTAATTATGACAGAGCAGGAGACATCCATGCTCTCTGCCCTCTGGTGATAGTTGCAGTAACAGCTGGAAGCCCCAGACAGTGCAGGAGCCTTATCCTAGTACAAGCTATACAGATAGATGTCACAAAGCATATTCAAATAACTAAGGTCTTCAATCCCACACTTGAAAGCAGTTTGAAAACTTATATATCTGCCTTGTCATACTGAACTTAAGACTGTTTACCTAAAATATATGGAAATAGCATATGTGAATGACTCAGCCCTCTGATAGATATGTAGGTGGGAGAAAAATATCCTGAGTAAATAAGCCAAAAGGCTTAACAGTCAGATGCTATAGACAAGCCCATCCTCTAGGCCCTCATTCCTTTTGAAAAGCTGTCATCATTTATTACACTGGAGCACACAGAGCTCCATTTGAATGAGCATGGTCACCAGTATGGAGGAGGAATGACTGCTACCTGGCAGGGCAAAGCAATGGTGTCATAATTATCAGTCATCAGGAATGAAGCAGTAAATGGAAAAGAGAAGGGTGGCACGAAGGCTTTCTATACTGTTTGTTTCAGACACATACAGGACTCTGTCAGCACATCAGTTTTTGGTATGCCCAGATTGCATTGTCACATACATGGCCTGAAAGTCCCTTAGGCTTAAGCTATGTTGAGTGTATTTCTTTCAGTAAACTTATCAGTAAATATTCATTTCTCACTGCATTTTTTACAAGTCTTCCCAAATACAAGGAATTTTCTTGAAAATGTTTACAAATAATAAATATCTGGGACAGATCCAGACAGAGACTTTCTTTGTACTGTCAGAATTGTTTAGCCAATTCATCCACACTGGATGAATTGTAGCTCACTATGGTGTAGGTTTCAGATAGTTACTCTTGTTTTTGCAAGATATTCATCCTTCTGTTCCTCTGGCCTGGCCTTGTCTTCTCCATACTTAGTCTTAGAAGGAGTTTCTCCACTTTTAAAACATTTTTTCTTCCTTGGTTACAGGTGCAATTGACACTGGTAGAGTTTGTTTCCCTGGTTCAGCCTTGGGGCTCATTTTAGGGCTTGGAGGGGCCACTGGGCCAGTCTCAGGGGTTGAAGTGGCTGCAGGGTCTGTCCCTGAGGTTATGTTGGCACTGAGTGCAGCTCAGTAAGCATAGGCCAAGCCTCAGCACATTGCAGCGACTCGTGTATGTCAGGTACTGCCAGAGCAATGAAACCAATGAGACACCTTTTTCAAGCACTCTGCCATTTTTTTCAGATTTCTCAGTTGTTCAGGGGTGAATTTCCAAAGCACTGGAGGTGCCCACTGCTCTAGATGCTTACCCATGTCCTCCCACTCCGCCTGCCACTCATAACTATCCTGACTCAGGACAGGATCTCTGGAGGACATCCTTAAGAATCACTTTAAACTTAAACAAAACCTGAAGTGCAATCAGGAGACATAACAATAAGACCATGCTGGTCTGAACATCCCAAGATATTTGAAGGTTTGGAAAGCTACCATAACTTACCTAGAGAAGAAAGGAAGAGTGAACAAGCTGGAACAAAATAGATTCCCCTGACCCCATCTCAGAAACTCTTATTACATCTCTCATACTTTTTCTTAAAGGAGCCAATATATGGAGGTGTCAGGGGAATCTGTCCAACAATAATTTTTTCTTTAAAGTGATCTTGAAACTCTAACTTCTAGTAATATAAGTGCTTTTGACTTGTATATTGTGGAAACAGCATTTCTTTTAATGTACAGCATATTCTCACAGTTTTCACTTAGCAAAAGTAATGATAATGCCAGCTGTATCTATCCAAATCTGTCTCTACTTACCACAAGGCAAAATTTGAATTCACATTAAGACACATTTTTCATGCAGCCTATTATTCAATCTTAACAAATACTTAAGAACAATCTTCAAAGTACAGGTTACCAAAAACTCCAATTGAAGTGCTTATGGATTTTTTTTATTTTTTTTTTTTTAATAGGTGGGAAGGGAGCTTAGAATCATTATAAGTAACTTCACTGAAAACAGACAAGGGGAAGGCAGTACTTTAATTGCTCAACATTAAACAACTGCAGAACCCAGGAACACTCACCTGCCAGCTTCTGAACTTGAGTCACTTCAAAACTGCTTCCCAGTGAAGTAGTACCACCAGGGTTTTACTGTACTGAGAAGACACCACCAACAGAATTAGCTCATAGAGCCTCTAAAACTCTTTCACAGAAACGGTGGAAAACACAGAGACAAAGCAGCCTACTGAGGAACACTGAGTCTATTTCACCATGATGATAGAAAAGCACCCTAGGTAACCTGAGCCCCAAACTCCCCTAGAGAGACAATTCCTCCCCATGCCTCCTCATGATTCCTATATAGCAAAGGTCATATGATCCACAGCTGACAGATTTCACTTAATAAGGGTGGAGCCAACAGACCTTGTGGAATAGGTTCATCTACCTGGCTTCAATGATTTAAGGTCAATTGCTCCTTATTGCTAAGAGAAATAACCTGACAAGGGGCTTAGCGGTTAGAGGTGACCTAATGAATTAACTACAAAAGGTGCACATGTAACAGAAAAGGTATTTCTGTTAGTCATTCTGTGAGGAAAATTTGTACAGAGTCTATTAAAAACAAAACACAACAAAACAAAAGCAAAGACTTTACATGCAACATTGCTATCATAGATTTTCATCTCTCTGGTCATGACAGATAAAGAATATAGCAATCAGAAGTAGTTTTCTTGACATTAATGTTATTTAAATTTGCTTTTCTGAGATCTCTTCTTTGAGGCTTGGAATATACTTGGCATTCATATCCTACAGAACTACAGACTTTTATTTAAAGGAAAATTAAGCAAACACTGAGACACAATTATGAAACTATTGGAAAAAGTATTATATTCAGTAATCCTTTCATTAATTCTGTAATGAGAAAAAAATATCTGAAAGATTAGGTACCTATTCTGTGGGAACAGGATACCCATCCACTCATATAAATCACTAAATTCGATCGTGGGATAGATTTAACTGAGGCATAAACTAGGAAAAGCAGAAGTAAATAGCAAATTACTGCAAAAATGGTTCATTCTAGGCCAATTGTGTGAAAATAATGACTCATCAATTTGGCACCCTGTTTAAGTGTTTTGCCATTCTTCTGATGTGGGGAGTCTATCATCAAACACACTAAAATCCAGTTAGCTGCTGAAGCACCTGAAAAGCCAGACTGGAGATCGACTACGTCCTCATCAGTATTTCATCTGCAAGAGATGGAACTGTGGGGTGATCTTTACCTCCAAAAATTAACATTCTGTTTTATGCTCTGTACCAGTTAACCTCATCTTTAATTTCCTCACGGGAGAGTAATTAGCATTTCCATGAATTTGACAAGCATTGTCTATTTCCATCTCTCATACTGCTTCTGGATTATTTCTATTATAAGAGACCACAGGAAGGTATAGCTAGGACAGACTTCAAGACACACTGTAGTTCAGTCCTCTCTGAAACCCTTCTGCTCTCCCTTCTTGCCAGAACCTACAGGGTAACTTGGTTGTTACTCTTAGGATCTAAAGAAGATCCTAAAATGGTATTAGCACAGTGGTTAGTTTTCTTTGTACTTTGTACTTTGCCTGGCATGTTTGTTCCAGAAGAGCAACCCAGAGAAAAAAGGGGGAATAAGACTGCATCCAACCATTTCTCTGCCTTCTGCAATGGCTCCAGACTAAACTTATTATTCAGACCATAGCATCATATTCTCTGGTGGCTTCTGTTCTTGCATGGCTTCTAGGCAACTTTTAGTGTTAAAAGAAGAAAGTTGTGTTGTTTGTAACAAGCTGACAGAGTATTTACAGGAATGTACGGTGATACTGTAGTCACTATTTCTACTTCGAGAAAGAGAGGCCACATCCTCAGTTAGTACATTAATCATTGGGTCTTCGTTACCTTTTTTGATGTTAGGATGCTTTTATAAATTAGGTCTTGCCAAAATGCAGCATCAACATTATCAAAGAAACTAAACCATAAGAGATGGCAGCACGAGCTACCTCAGTAGTTGAAATGAAAGTATATATCATTCACTTTTAAAGAAATGAGCATTACAATTTGTAAGTCGTTCTGTTTTGAAAGAAGAAAAAAAAATCTTAGTTGGATATAAAATTATTGTTTGTGGAAAAACTAGCATTAAAACCTAGCATTCGTGCCTATCACAGAAACATTTCTCCATGTCTTTCAGTAATCTGAAATTTAAACTTGTTAAATAGGTGAGAAAATTTATCCTTCCATGGTTTTGATAAGCTTCTCTACCTCGTGTGTATTTGGAAAGAATGTATTCGATTCTTTTAGTGTTAAAAACTGATTCAAAAATAAATGTTCTCTGTAAACCATACTGATCTTTCTGTAGAGATGTTCTGCTATCTTGTTAGGCTTCATATGTCAAAAAATGAGGAAGTTTTGTATATTAAAGTACAAAATGACTTGTACTGCTTCTTAATGCACTGTGTTCTACAAAGTCTCATGCATCTAGCATCCAATCAATGTGTGTGGTGAACTCAATAATTTGAGGCCTTCTTTGATAACTCTCCTTGCTGCATAAACACTCTAAGTTTATGTTTTGTAATCATCAACTGTCTCAGATTTTTCTACTTTTCTACTTTTTTTTTTTTTTTTGTATTATTATTGGCAGGAAAATTAAATCTAGAGAGGGAGAAGGAAGTGTATAAGACACAAGGACTTCTGAAAGCTTAATTTAGATCAATAGATAGGAATTTCAAGTATTGACCTCTTAGTGTTTCCCTCAGAAAATGAACGTAGTGGTGTTTATTGTTATTTATTATTATGTTTATGTATCGGCAGTAAGAGAACTTACTGTTCTGATACACATAGCTAACAATCTTAGCAACATGGTTGCAGTCCCTTAAAAGATTAACATAGCTGTTTGAGTACAATTCTTACACATATATGAACATTTTCCTCTCCAATTTCCAACCTGGAATGCAGCATTTTTCATCATACTCTTAGATCAGGATTCTGGTTCTAACAATGGTTCCTAATGCAAATTTCCAGAGAAGAGAGAAGCAAACCAGTCCTGTCTGTTTTGAATGAGACGGAGATAACAAACAAATGTAAATGAAGAAAATAAACCTGTAGGATTTTTTTCAAATAATTGTCATTTTCCAAAAGCTTTAAATTGGTTGAATCCTTGAAAGTTAATTAATGTAAACTCAGGTTGCATCACTTAATTTGAAGCAGTAAGATAGACTTGCATCATTGCAGAGCCTCAGTCACAGTTTAAATTGGCATTGCCTCTAACTTCACAAGAACGAAAGAGGGAAAAGCATATCTTTCTACCTTGTTTCTGGCTTATGTCAATGAATGTCACAGAAAGGAATTTTTCCTTTTGGCAGTTACTCCTGGATGGCACAATGCCAGCACAAGGCAAAAACCTTGCAAATAGTTTTGTATGCCTTTGGGTGCGGGTGAGTTATGCTAACACAAGCTATACGCAGCACAGTTGTAGGTAGATGTTTCCATACTGTGTTCACAGTAAGGAGTCAGAAGAGAGCTTTTGTAGGAAGAAAATTTATTTTAGGAGGTTCCTTAAAATTATTTTTCCCTTTTTCTCTTTCAAATAATCAAATCTATCTTGGCTGCAAGATGTTTGCAGATATACAGAACAAACATCTCCCTCAAATCCAGCCAGCTACAGATCAGTTCTGTCCATCCCTAAAAGAGTTTTCAGAAAACTTTACAGACCTAGGAATAAAAGGGATTTTTTATTAGTGAGACCATTACCTCTAGCTTTACTTGGTTATTTTCTTGTTGCTTGTTGAATGCATTAATGCCTTTTTTTTTTTAAGACTAATTTCAATAGCACCTTCTATATATGCTTCTCTCTGTGGGTAATGCAGGGTTTGGGAAGACACCAGTCATAACGTTTTGAATCCTCTACTCCAGTTAAAGTAAAATATACACCGGGAGAAGGGCTTTCACAGTCCAGACTGAGAACAGTTTCTTCAATAGCTCTAATTTGATGTGTTCTGTTGTTAACTATACAACAGCTATAACTATTGTATATATGCACCTAGATGTACCTTAACTTCAGCAGATTCCAGTATAGTAACAAAAGAAATGGGCTAGTTCCTGCTTCTTCCTGCACCAAAATACGGGGTTGTTACTACACTCTAGTCCATACACATATCTTGTTCTTTAAGAATATCTGCATCCCTGGTCATTTTTCCTTCATGCAAAAGTTCCCTTGCCACTAAAAAAAAACAGCCCTGAAACCACAGAGGAGCAAAGCCATCACTTTCATTCTTCCTGTAAATTCCCACTTCAGCTCCTCTTCTTCCTTGCCTGTTTTCTTCTTCATCAGTGAAGAATATGCTCCCTACAGATTAAATTGGCCTAGACGATCTGAAGCTGATATGACAATTTAGTTCCATATTTGTGCTTTTTGATGAAAGAATTATATCTTGTCCTTCTGGAAACTGTATAGAAAAAGGGGAAATCCTGTCACCATCTTCAAGTTCAAGCTCTGGATGTTCAACCTGAACTTTCTGAACAGTTTACTTAAAGTGAATTTGTCTTCCTACCCACCTGTACAAACCAGTGTCTCAGCTATCAGGGGTAAGCATCCTTCTGTGCAAGGAAGACGATATAATGAATACATACCTCATGCAACCCTGTGGTCCCAGTATTGTTATGAAAATGAGTAGAGGAAAGCCAAACAGAGCAGTTGCAGGAAACTTCTTTTGTTCTTCAAGTATGCCTAAATTAAAAATTAAAAAAAAAAAAAAAAAAAAAAAAAAAGAAAAAAAATGTTGTGTAAGATTATTTTTTTTCCAGGGGAAGATTTTGAAAGATTGTGAAACAATCCATTTATAGCACCTAAAATTTCCTTTAAAGAGGCCCCTGCATTTATCTGTGTACTATGTAAATTTGGAGATTCCTGTGGTGCTACGTGCAAAGGAGATAGTAGTTTTGTGGATGTGTGTGTGGACAGAATGTAGAAAACAAAGCTGTGGTGATTTATTAAATATTTTCTGGGCATGTAAGAGTCTCTTCCCTCCCTTTCTCTCCTTCCTCTGGCCAGGCAAAGGTCAGGAGAAAAACGGGAATGATGTGGAAGAAGGAATTGCATCAGTAGTGTCTGGGTCTCCAAGCAAATGCAGAGACCTCAAGGTTTTTTTCAAAAGCACAAAGCAAAGGCAAAATCTCTTCAGATACGCTCCCTCAGCACCCTCCACACGAAGGCAGTGAGGGGGAGTGTTGTTCAGTCATGGTTTACCAGGCAGGAAGGGCACTCAGTGGGAAAGAAATGTATTTGTTTCCAAATCTACTAATACCAAAAGCACCGTTTTGCTATGGAGACACAGAGGCCATATCCCTCCCACACACAGTTTACCCAGATACTTGTTCATATGCATACATGCTTACCTCTGTCCTGGAATATTATTGAAAGAAGATGAAAAAGAAAAGGCAGCAAAACAAGACCCAGTACTCAGCAAAGCACTGATGGTTTAATGTTCAGGTGATCAGGCCTCAAA